AAAGACCATTGACCTATATCAAAGCACAAAAATTATGCTTATTCTCAATTCATATATCGTAAGACAGTAAAAATGTTAATTAGAAAAGAGATTAATTTGCGAAAGGGGGCCGAAATAAAGTTTTCCCGATTTAGCATTCGAATTGATTCTGACATGCAAGTCATGTGATTCACTGTAACACGGAATTATATGTAGGTCTTTTTAAATTACTACAAAAGAAAAAAAATTAAAGGAAGTAATTATGAGTATTTGATGAAGTAATTCTCATAAAACTGAGAAGATATAACTTCTGGACTAAAGTTTTATCACATTTTCCAGTTTGTTTATCGCTTTCTTTCATGAGAAAAAGGAATTAAGTATAAAACAAACGCTTGTAAAGTGAAAGTTTTTCTTTTTTTTTAAGTACACTATTCTTTGAATTGTTAAAATTTGTGCGACGCAGATAATAATTCTCAATTTCGAAATATTTGGGCATTTTTAGAGTTGTTAAGTGAAGGGAAAAGAGGTTATAAGCTTATATTTTTTAAATGTTTGTTACAAAAACTCTTAACTTCTCAAACTAATGTTCAGTTATTTTACGAAATTAAGGAAGTTATGTATTACATGTCTGCATTTCAAAACTTCGTTTAAATCTTTCTTCGTCAATGATCAGATTAGTTTATCATGCAAGCACATTATTTAACTCATTCGTTAATATTTTCTTGTGTTTTTTCAATATAATGAACCTGAATTTTTAATCTTAGCAGTTTATTTTTTAACTGAAAGAATAATATATTGAGTAAATACTTATCATTAAGCGTGATCTCTTGTTTGAAACACATGTAAAAGTATACCAGCATTGTCACATTTTTGAATTATTAAAAAAACAGCTATATGCTGTCAAAAATAACTACGTGAAAAATCTAACAATCAACTATACATTTTTTTATGGCTATCTCCAAGAATTTTAGTAGGTTTCACCAGCCATATGACATTTATTTTTCATAGATAATTCGATACCGAAATTTGGAAAAGTCGGATAAATGATTGTTTTTTATTTCATATTCAGTTTCACTTGAATTAGAATATACATATAAAATTATTTTAAGAATATTGTTACATGAAAAAAAATTTTTACATTCAAATTTTTAGCAATAAATAAATGAATAAAACAAAGAGAGAATGAGGTATTTTTAAAACATTCTCCTTTTAGGAAGAATGTTCCTATAGTAATAATATTTTGCCTACATATTGATAAGACTTTATTACAGAGCTTGAACAAGGATTTTTTAAATTTATAATTTAGAAATGGATTTATTCATATTTTAATAAATCAAAATAGAGAAAAATTTTAACAAAAAAAAAAAAAACATTGGTTATTATATTAATTGATAGTAACTTTGAAAACTATCAGGATTTTGCAAATATCCTAGTTCATTCTCTATAGAGAAGTCTTTAACTATATATAAAAAAAACTATTATATTATTATAGAAGAATCTTTCACATAAGGGAAATTTTTTTTAAAATACTTCATTCTTCTTTTCATTTTCTATTTTATTTATTTATTGTGAAGAATTGCATTTAAACAATTTTTTCTTGTAAAAATATTCTTTAAACGATTTCATACATATATTCTAATTCAACTGACAATAAATATATATAAAAACTATTCACACATTTATACGCTTTTTCAAAATCACGGTTCGAACGTAGTCTCCTTAAAGGGTAATTTAAACTGACTATAGTTTCAAAGAACAACAGCTTTTTCTTACGAAAATTTGTAATACTTTTCATAAAATTGTCTCTCTCATTTTTGTGTCTTTTTTTTTTAAAAAAAAAAAGCAAAGTGTTTGTAAAAAAAAATTTCAGGACTTCATGCAGGGATTTTAAACATTTTACATATTTTATTAATACAAAAAAAAACAAAAAAAAAAAAAAAAGAATCTAATTTTTTTTTTATTTTAGTGGGTGTACAATTTTTATGCTTAGTTTCTATCAAATGCGTTTCTATATTTAGAAGCAAAATTAGTAAAATATTATCGAAAAAAAATGCCTTTCTGAATTTTTTAAAAATAAATTTTGTTAATGCTTAGAAACAGTGGTTAACATTTGAATCAGCATTAAAAAATATAACTTTACCTCCAAAAAAAGGTGTTTAAAACCTGCCTTACTTTATTTGCCTAAGATAATCCGTTTAATTATACATTCATAAGATATTTATTAATATATCCAGTCTGTCTCAATAAAATATAAACAAATAAAAACAGCAAAAAAGGCAATTTTTTTCGCTCATATTATATTTAACTATTTCATTTATTTAAAATAAAATATACAGGTAAAATATGCACCAGGGTGAATTGCAATACCTCATGTTTTTGTTGCCAACCCTACACATTTTTATCCGGCATATACCTTTATATATAATTACAAGGTTCTTCAATTCATCATCTTTTCCCTACAAGGACAAAACCAAAACATACGTATAGCACAAAGACCTAACACAATAAGGATTGCCTACATTCATAAATGTATGCTAAGGCATCGCAGGAAATTGAAATTTTTCTTCCTTTTTCATCATGCAGAATGCTTCCTGACACTTGACCGAAGGGACCGGTTTGAGGCTGCAATAAGACCTCTTAACCATGAACTTGTTCCGTGAGGTAACTGCTATTATGAACACGTATTTCCTTTTCTTTTTTTTTTTTGCCCATCGGCGAAATGAAACGGATTGCACATGAAGAAAAATTCAATAATTTCTCTCTTTTTGTGCAGTGCCGTTGCCGTAGTAGGAGAGAAATCCATCGTTGTTGTTGTTTTTTTACGTGTTGTGTTCTGAGAAAGCAGAGCTGGAGGGAAAATCTTTAGGATTCAATGCCCTATGTGTGATTTAATTCCTTTCAGCGTGTGTGTAATTCGTCTATTAATATATTTTTATTGTCTATGTTGTCCACTTGCTTCGGTTTTTTGTTTGTTTGTTTGTTTGTTTGTCACTTACGCTGCTATTCACAGATAAAATTTGGGTGGGTGAACTCAAGATTGTTCTAATGCTTGGGCCTCTAGGCTTTTAGGTATTTCGGGCCTCATACACTGATGTTATCTTGCGCAATATCTGACAGTTTGACTCAGTTGTTAAGTGAAGTGAATGAGATACACGTAACTTTATACTGTAATGGTCGCCACGCGACCTCTATTAGTGTGGGAGAGTCGGAAGGAAGATTAACCATATTCAAAATCACTACTATTTATTCACAAAAATGAACAACACCAAAAATTCTATTAAGCAATTTAAGAGATGCACCAAATATGGAAAGCAATAGCGAGGAAGACGAGATACGAGAAGTCTAAATGTATAAGACTTATTAAATAAATAATATAAAAAAAAATTTTAAGTCAATTCCTACTTAGATCATCAAAGAAAAATTTTATTTTAGCTACTTTTTATTAAATAGTTACAATTAATATAAATATGTATACATATGACAGAATCACAACATTAAGTGGTAATTAATTTTTATTAATTATCGTTAAGGTATCGTATTGTCATCCAAAACAATCGTGTTCATAAAATTTTAGTTCTACTGAATGCTTTAAAACGTGAGAAAAAAACATTTTCAAGTTTTGACACAAGTCGCCAAAAAGGATGGCAATGGGGCTGTATTTGTATTCTTTAAATAATTAGTTTTAATCAATGAATTTTTATTAATTATAATTAAATTATTGTATTGTCATCCAAAATAATGATATATATAAAATTTCAGCTCAATCGAGCGTTTTAAAATGTATTTTATTAACGATTGAAAATTCCACCAAGATAAATAAATAAATAAATAAACAAATAAATAAATATATAGAGAGTATGACCTAATAGTAGGAATTGAATAAGACTTAATAAATAAGATCACTCATGTCCAAGCAATATATCTTCTAATTCCAAGTGATCTAATCTAATTTAATTACTAGTTGACAAACGTCAATCTTTAATATTACACTAATCAACTACGAAGTATTCTCATTTCATCAATCACTGCTATAACAACAGAAGTCGCACTACTTTAATTTGAATTACACGTATAACTAAAACATTTAAAATACAGTACAAAAGGTACTTTTTCGTTGTAAATAACGAGTTTTGAGTTGTAAGCATTTAGTTTTATTATTTTTCCACTAATCACTAGTCAAAATTATTTGATGGTACGTATGTACCTCATCAAACACTTCTTTAGAAAAAGTGGCACGTTGATCCATGAAGGTTCGCCACCCCTGTCATAGAATGATTTATCCCGACTGTTCATGATACAACTATAAATACTATTAATTTTTAAAGAGTTTATGTAATCGAGATCATGTGTGTGTGGGCATGCGTTTCTCTCTTTTTTTTTCTGGAAAATTTATCTCGTTTCTCATAATAATGAAAAAAATTATAAGAATTGTATATCCCATAAGTTTCTTCATACTTAATTGAAAATCAAAATAACTAACATGAAAAGATAGGTGAGATTTTGAATTGGGTATCTGATTTCCCTGTTTTTTCCATTCCCGGGAATGTATATGTCGTTCACGAAATTCCCCAAAATACATCAGAATTTCTAAAAATTTAAAAACTAGTTATTTTTAAATTTTTTTCTATAATAATTACATAAAATAAGGATAGTATAAAAAAAAATATTCACAATTTACTCAAATAATCAAAATTAATACTCATTTATATATTCAGCTAAACAAGTAGTATAAAAAAAAAATCTTTTTAAGTCAATTACTACTTAGGTCAACAAATTTTTTTTTATTTTTGTTACTTTTTATTAAATAATTACAATTAATGTAAATATGTATACACATATGACAGATTCACAATATCAAGTGGCAAAAAAGAAAGCGATTTTCCCTGTAGTTTTCCTTTTTCCTTTCTAAGTAGGGTGCTGAACTATTATTTTTTTGTTTGCTACTATCTATTCATTAATTAAATTTAATCATTCCAATAAAATAGTTTGGTAAAACGAAATAACATTCTCAGAAATTAGGCCTTCAAAGGTGGGATTCGAAGCCACTACCTTTGGATTAGAACTCCAACACGTCATCCATTGCGCTACAGGAACACAACGAGCGATTTTTCTTCTTATATATGGTGTTGGACCATTATTTTGTTTTTTGCAATGTATCCGTTAATTAAAAAATTAATGAATTAATATTTGAAAAAACTGTATTAACATCAAGTGCGATCCACTACAAGTTTATAAAAATGTATTTGAACTTGAGTGATAAATAAAAAGTATTTTATTAACGTTGAAAATTTGATCAAGATATATATATATAGCGAGAGTGTGAACTAATAGTAGGAATTGAGAAAAATACAAAACGAAACGAAATCTGTTGAAAGTGTTTCGAAGGAATAAATAATTATTCCGATTAAAGAAATTATTACATATATATTGAATAAAAAAGAATTTACTTAGTTTATAATAAACAAATATGTCAAACTACATTTATTTTGCAGATGCTGTTGCTGCGTTAATTTTTTTATTTTCAATTTTGTCATTGACGCAGATGAAAAATATTTCCTAAAATTAAGAGTTGTAATTTTTTTTTTCATGAAATTTGTCATTTTTATCACTAAAAACAAAAATTGTTAACTGCATGAAAGTAATATTGTAATTAAAAATTTTGTAAAATAAAAATTTCGAAAAAAGAAAATTCACATTTAAAAAATAGTTAGAAAATCAATGTTCCTTTAATGATTCATATGAGTTTGAAAATTAATCAATCAAAGCTGAATCACAATTATTTTTCTAATGTTGCCGCTAAGAGATGAATATTAATAAATAATTGAAAATTTATTTACTGCTATTACGAACGTTTAAAACATTAATTATTACATTTAAGAAATTTTATTTGTATAACCGATTTCTTGTTTATGGAATTGATATATTATTGTTACATAAACATAAATAAATATTAATGTAAGAATCTCACACGAAAGTCTGGTCAAGAAAATAATAAATAAGAAAAGTTGAGAGATTGCTTAAGGTATCCGACTACTTGCGACAACTTTTTTTTTTTTTTTTGAAAAAATGAAGATATTTGAATTTTTTTGCGTTTTTTAGATTTGTTTAGTACATTTAAAGAGAAATATGCTAAAATTAAGAAGAAAAAAAATTATTATTACTAAAATGGAAAAAAACTGGGTAAAAATTGACAAAAAATAACATAAACGGGGGCCCATTCTGTACCAAAAGTTTATAAACAATTTTTCAATTCTAATGTGTTGCTGTTATTCATTTTTGAAATGACCTTCTGGGTAAGAGATATTTTAAATTTACAAAAACTACAACTCTTTATTAGAGTTATTATAAGAAATTGCTTAAGGTATCCGACTATATTCGGAACCGTGATTTTAAAAAAGCACATAAATGGATAATTTTCATGATATTTAGTGTCACTTAGATTAGAATACATGTATAAAATTGTATAAAAGACATTTTAACAAAAAAAATTAGTTAAATACAATATTTTGGCAAAAAATTCACTTAGAATAACCTTTTTTCAAAATGTTCTTTTGTGAAAAATGCTTCTAAAATAATAATACTTTGCTTATATAAGGGTAAAGACTTCTCCAGAGAGTCTGAGGTAAGATTTTTGAAAAATTCACATTATTTTCAGAGTTACAACTAATTGAAATAATTATCGGCGTTTTTTTCTTAAAATTTCTCCCCTCTGTTGTCGTAAAATAAGGATAAGCCCACTTCTAAGTTACATATTTCAAAAATTCTAATTAAGCTTCTGCACAGAGGTCTAAGCTATATACAGGCAAAATATTATTATAAAAGAAGCATTTTACACAAAAGGAGAATATTTTGAAAATGGGTCACTCTAAGTTCATTTTTTGTCAAAATATTGTACTTAAATAATTGCTTATTGTAATACTATTCTTAAAACAATTTTATATACATTTTCTAATCTAGGTAACACTAAATATCATAAATATTATTCATTTATACGCTTTTGCAGAATCACGGTTTCGAACGTAGTCGGATACCTTAAAAAAAAACAGTGATTATATTCAAATAAAGGACTGTAAATTTTGTAATAAATCAGTGATTCATAAATGAAACTCTTCTACTATTACACAGAACAGACACAAAAAATTTCACTTAATTATTTTCAAATTTTTTCGAGCAATCGCTGTCCGTTTGTGTATTTTTAAAAAAAACACACATTTCGAGTAAAAGGCCTTTTAAAGTATGACATCTTGCTTAAAGTAATGGCATCTGATTTTACTAAAACACTTGTAGTTTTTGTTCTAGTGAACAGAAAACAACGAACGTTGTATTTTGGTAAAGCTAATAAGATGGCCAATAAAATAAATTCATTAAAAATGTGTCAATTTTTGGCAAAATTCACAATTTCAGAGTAGTCAGATATCTTAAAGATATTCTCCCCCAATCAGTTTGGAGAATCTCTTCCCTTCTTCAAATTTCTGATTCAATTAAATAACTCGTAATAAAAACAAGTATCCGAAGTTTTTTTAAAAAAATTAAATAATTAATAGTTTTAAGTATTAGTACTTACGTTAACTGCATAAATTAAGATCTAAGAACTTTTATCGGATTGGTTGTGGTAGAGTAGACTTCAAAACGTGATTCCTTTAAAATCTAAATACTTAGAGTTAATAAAGCAATGTTTCATAAATAGGAACTTATCAAGTGCAAATAGTTTTATGGATTTGCTGTTTAAAACGGCCAACTGAAAAAATTCTCACCAACCCTACGTGGGCGTTTTAGTTACTCTCTTTCTCTTATTACACTCTTACCTCACTGATGAGGTAACGAATATTTCCCCTTCTAGGAAGTTCAGGGTGAACAATTGTAAATTACCACCGTATGGACAGCTAAAATTTACATCCGAGGTTGAAATCCCCAATCAAGTGAAGAATAGCTACTTCATAGATTATAGGGAATACATTAAGTACGGAAAACTTAATTTTGAAGAATAAAATGGAAATTTAAATTAAAGTTAAAATGTGTAGTTAAGGGCATTATCGTACACAGACCTCCCTTGTAGTCAGGGCCGATCCTATCAAGTGTGCAGCGTGTGCTCTACATGCGGGTGGCCAAAACGAGGAGTGACCGCAGGCCGCACATAGTTCTCTATCAACGAAATAAAATTTTTCAACAATTTCTCAAAATAAAACTTATAATAAGTCGAATAAATATGCTAAATTTTAAATAGTTATTGAAAAATTAAAATAAATCCCGATTTCCCGATAGCATAGCATAGTTTAAAATAGAATGTTAGTGAACAGTATGTCGTTCCATTGTCCATTTATGTTTACTCTTTACACTCATCTTTCATTTGGTTACAAAATTCGCGTGGCAGAGCCGGCAATACCACAAAAGAAAAGGTTTTCTATCAGATCGGCAGTGCACTATGGATGGATGCTTAACAAAGGCGTCTCAAAAGTGATTTGCGGAAGCTACTTAACAAAAACATCTAATAAGTTTAATATTATCCAAGACATAGGAGTATTTAAATTCAATATGCATTTACGGAAATTAAAAGTGTTCAATTTAATAATAGCCTTGTAATTTAAAAAACAAAATAGCGGAAAGAAGTGGGTTTTTTTTTTTTGTCCATTTGCATTTTTATTAATGTTTCACTTTTTACAATTGTACAGTTAAATGAGTTTATAATGTCAACCTTAAGTATTAGTCAAAATATGTAAAATTTTCTTGAGGGGCAACCCATTAGGTCTTTGCACGCGGGGGATTGATACCCTAGGATCGGTCCTGCATGTAGTACGGAGTAGGGGGCTTACGTTATAAAAAACACGCAGACGAAGGTACCGAGTCCCCCCCCCAACACCCTTGTGTACGCCACTGGTTGGGGGCACCAAGGGAAAATTTTAATCCGGAACACAACTTGTACTTTACAATGTTTAATGCAAGGTAGGGCTCTTCAACCTTTCGCACTCGTTGGCCACACCAATAAATTTATATACATCCGCGACCCACACCAATAAATTCATAAATATCCGCGGGTCACTCGTCTGTTAAAGAAATTAGAGTGGCCGTACACTATTTAAAAGAAGGGGAGGGTTTTTTTACAAGACTATAACATTCTAAATGAAGAGAGGTTTTGTTACAGATTTGTAAGTTTTAATGAAAGTCGAATTGAAATACTTTATAAAGTTTTTAAATTATGAAAATAAAGATACATATATATGTGAAAGGGATTGTACTGAATGATGTTGCAAAATACAAGTACAGTGGGAAAAAACTTGCATTACTGGCGGGAGTTGGTAAATACTTATTCATATTAGGAAATTTGACATTGTTTTTCTTTGTTAAAGCTTCGATATCCTGTTTAATCTGTGTTGTTGCAACTCGTAAATTTTCCTCCAAATGTCTATCTTTCAGCCGTGTTCTTGCTTTTGATTTTATATTCTTCATTTTACTAAAACACTTCTCACATAAGTAAGTACTGCCGAAGATAGAAGACATGAATATGCCTGTTTATTAATTTCTGGATACTTATCGTTGATCCTGAACTTTAAATAAAAATCTATTAAAGTAGGATTTTCAAAAAATTTGCATTTTACTGCGAAGTCACTCTGCAAAATTATAATTTCTAATTGAAATTCAATGCCTATTGAAAATTTTGAATCTAGTTTAGGAACAATTTTTCAGACAGAAAATGTAGTAATATTATTATAAATGCCCAGTGGACGAGTGGTAGTGTATCGTGCTTCCTATCGTGCTTTCGCCTGACTGGGCAAGGTCGACTCAGCCTTTCATTCCAACTGCAGTGGATCGATAAATACCAAGCTTGCTTGGGGACTTAAACACTGGGGATATCACTTCAGACTGACCACCTGATCGGGAGATCTGCTCATGCACCCCAGCGCCCAAGGTCACGAATACTGAGAGGGGCACAGAAGACCTTTGCCATTATGGGCTGTTGCGCCACTGAGTTTAGTTTAGTATTAATATAAATTCATGTAATTTTAACACGTTTATTTGTTCATCATACTGTGTTCTTGAAATTTAGAAGTATTCATTCAATAGGCAATTCTTAGTTTTAAATGTAAGAATAAAATTT